TTTAACCACAACCCTGTTGCTAGTTTCATTATAAAAAGAAAATAACACAAACAGATTCAAAAGCTTACTAGACTTCTTGAAAAGAAACCCATTTTATTCTATCAAAGAACTTTTAGATTGTAATCTCTAAATGTGCATTTGAATTTCCATGTATCTAGTTATACTCTGATGTAACCTAGAGATTTTCTAATTTTTAAAGTTACAGAACTTATTTTTAGTTACTACTTAAAACCTTGTATAATGAATGATTATATTTATTTAGTTCATAATTTTTATTTAACCTAGTTTAATGACACTATTCAAGACAATATTGTCTAAACTTTCTGAATAAAGAATATTTAATTGATTGATTGGCCTTTATTTTAAAGTATTACTTTAACGGTCAACCTGTGCACTCGATTAGGATTTCCTTCAGTCTCCTCTCCTTGTAAACTGTCCCCAGAATGGTGGAAAAATTGATATTTGCTTCAAAAATAGATTTTTAAGTATGTATGGCACATAATGTGCTGAGCTTTGTTGCATTTAGGGATAGACAAGTCTCAAAATTTTGGGAAATTTTAAATCTCATTCTACGAGACAAGATTTTATTTTGATGGAGATTTTTTCGAGACGAGATAAAAAAAAAAATAATAAAATAAAAAAACGCCTGCAGAAAGTCAATGCAATACCCGCAATACCGGAGCATGTTGTAGTTGTGTTTCCTTTGCGAAGGCGTTCGTATTTAATTAATTCTTTACATGTAAATATTACTTTAATTGTTTTATAATTTTTTTGTCTCGACATCACAAATGATGAGAAGTTTTGTTTGTAAGCAGTGTGAGACATGTTTCACTACTGTAAAGATAGTCCAAACCAGTATTTTATGCAAATTAATATTGCTTTTATTTTATAAGTTTTTTTACAAGCTGAATAATGCTTGCTTTTTTAATATGTATAGTTAAATAACAACTTTATATTACAGTTTTTAAATAATGTTAATTCAAAACAGGGTGCCAACCAAACAGATGGGTTAAAAAAACCTTTGTTTTTTTGTGTTTGTATATATGACAGGAAGTAAATAATTGTGAAAAATAAAGCACTTTTTTTCTTTATTTCATTAGCCAAAACAAGTCACTCCAAATAATATCATTCTAAAAATAACACAAGACTGAATAATTGTTACTTGATACTGACCTAGTAAGACTGATGTTTAAGACCGATTAATTTGGTATTTTTTAAAGTTTAACTCTATCCTAACTGATATCACCATGTTTCCTAAGCGTAAGAGTTAATTTTACTAAGGTAGGCGTAATAAACAAAACTTTTTCTATACTGATGTTAATAAAAGATTTTAAATATTCTTGCCTGTCATTATTATTTTTGTATTTAAACAGTCATCCGTCATAAATCAGTAGGTATAGGGATGGACGGCCCCCGATTTTCAGGAAGGGATTACATTTGATTCGGGAACTTTTCGGGACGGGATTTGGTCCGATCGTCGGCGATTTTGCCACTTCGCGAGTGACAATAACGCCACTATCGCGAGAGATGTTCTGCAAACGCAGGAGGCGAAGTCATTTCGAAAATCGCGCCGTGACCGCGGAGTCATACCGACGATCGCGCCGTTACCGCAAGTTATACTGACGATCAGGCCGTGACCGCAGAGTCATAACGACGATCGCGCCGTGACCGCAAGTCATACTGACGATCATGCCGTGACCCTGAGTCTTACCGACGATCATGCCGTGACCCTGAGTCATACCGACGATCGCGCCGTACCGCGGAGTCATACCGACGATCGCGCCGTGACCGCGAGTCATACCGACGATCACCCCGTGACCGCGGATTCATACCGACGATCATGTCGTGAAAGTGAGTCATACCGACGATCACCCCGTGACCGCGGTTATTTTAACGATCGCACCGTGACCGCGAGTCACAAGTTTATATAAGTACCTGTAGATTGTTGTAACTAAACCATTTTTTTGTTTTTATAGAAAAGTGCCACAAAAGGTAAAAATTGATTTAGTTTGTCTTTTTTGGTAACTGCAATACCAGGGTGTATACTATTTTATTAAAGTGAAATTCCAGGTTTTTTCCAGGTTCCAGCGTATTTGTTTGGTTCCACTTAAACTATAATCAATTTAAGACTTGCAGCTTAAGTATACAATATAAACCTACATAAAATTTGTTTCAAAGTCCAGTGAGCTAGTGTTGAAAAAGTAATAATCCTTATTATCGTAATAATTTTCATTATCACTATTACTTAAGTCCACGGAAACATCGTCTCTCTCGATACCAGCAAAATCATGAATATTATATTCATTTTTTATGAACACATTATCAACGGCGGCAAAATCCTGAATATTTCCTGCGGTCGTGTGGTCGCTTCCCACGGTGACGTAAACGTCATCACAGTCTTACGTTATCATAGAAAAATCCTGGACATCCTCCGCGGTATGGATACATTATCGCCGTCTCTCGCAATCACGGAAACGTAATCATCGTCATCCACGATCGCGGCAAAATCACGAAAATCTTTGGCGGCCGTGTGGACATCATCATTGACTCCCACGGTCACGTAAACGTCATCGTCATCGACCGCGATCACGGCAAAATAACGAAAATGTTCCGAGGCCGTGTAGACACCATCATTGACTCCCGCGGTCACGGAAACGTCATCGTTGTCGTGCGCGATCTCGGCAAAATCATGAATATTTCCCGCGGCAGTATAAACATCATCGTTGGTCCTGCGGTCACGTAAACGTCATCGTCGTCGTCCGCGATCGCGGCTAAATCATGAACATCTGCGGCCGTGTAGACATAATCATCGTCGTCTTTCGCGGTCACGGCAAATCACAAATATCTTCCGCGGCCGTGTGGACATCATCATAGCCTCCCGCAGTCACGGAAATGTCATCGTCCGCGATCTCGGTAAAATCATGAATATAATATCATGTATCATGAATATTAATTCGGTAAAATCATGTAGAATCATGTGTCTACATCATCGTCGTCTCCCGCGGTCACGGAAACGTCATCGTCGTCATCGTCCGCGATCTCGGCAAAATAATGAATATTTCCCGTGGCAGTGTAAACATCTTGGTTGATCTCGCGGTCACGGAAACGTCATCGTCGTCGTCCGCATTCACGGCAAAATCATGAGCATATCACGCGGACGTGTATAAATCATCATCGTCGTCTTTCACGGTCACGGCAGATCACGAAAATCTTCCGCGGCCGTGTAGATATCATCATTACCTCTCGCAGATATGGAAACGTCATCGTCGTCGTCTGCGATCTCGGCAAAATCATAAACATCTGCGGCCGTGTAGACATAATCATCGTCGTCTCCCGCGGTCACGGAAACGTCATCGTCGTCATCGTCCGCGATCTCTGCAAAATAATGAATATTTCCCGTGGCAGTGTAAACATCATGGTTGATCTCGCGGTCACGGAATCGTCATCGTCGTCGTCCGCATTCACGGCAAAATCATGAGCATATCATGCGGACGTGTATAAATCATCGTCGTCTTTCACGGTCACGGCAAATCACGAAAATCTTCCGCGGCCGTGTAGATATCATCATTGCCTCTCGCAGATATGGAAACGTCATCGTCGTCGTCTGCGATCTCAGCAAAATCATAAACATCTGCGGCCGTGTAGACATAATCATCGTCGTCTCCCGCGGTCACGGAAACGTCATCGTCGTCGTCCGCGATCTCGGCAAAATCATGAATATTTCCCGCGCCAGTGTATACATCATCATTGATCCCGCGGTCACGTAAACGTTATCGTCGTTTCCCGAGGTCATGGAAACGTCATCGTCGTCTCCCGCGGTCACGGAAACGTCATCGTCGTCTCCCGCGGTCACGGAAACTTCATCGTCGTCGTCCGCGATCTCGGCAAAATCATGAATATTTCCCGCGGCAGTGTATACATCATCGTTGATCCCGCGGTCACGGAAACGTCATCGTCATCTCCCGCGGTCACGAAAACGTCATCGTCGTCGCTCGCAATCGCGGCAAGGCGCATTTTACAACTACAATTTTCTACCGGGGCTAAAATAAAAATCCCGGATTCGGTCCAAAAATCCCGGCTTTTTCCCGGTTTTTTCCAGGTCCCTTCAAATTCAAGGTTATTTCCCGGTTCTCCCGGTTTTCCCGGTTGGTATACACCCTGAATACTCAATACTTTCTTTTCATGCACAGGAAAAAATCCCGCCCCGCCCCGTCCCAAAAATCGGGAAGGAAATAAAAATCCCGTCCCGAACTAAAAATTCAATCCCGTCCATCCCTAGTATTTAACAACGTTACAAAATCAGGTAAAAATGTCCAACGTGCATTTCCCGTTATGTATGAGATGGGAAATCCCGTCTCGATCTCGTCTCGAAATTTTATGAGAAATAATAAATCCCGTCTCGTCTCGAACTAAAAATCCAATCTCTTCCATCCCTAGTTGCATTATCTACAATCAATGACAAAAAATGCTGTTTCTGAACTTATTGAAGTCATTAAGACTGTATATGATGACAAAATTACAGCACAACCTCGTTAAGTAGGTATACTCGGGACTGCAGCCGATCCCACATAATGATCCGACATATCTGCGTTACAAGGAGCGTAAAACATAAAAATGAACATATACATTATATTTACAATAATTGTCTTTATCACAGAGAAATAAACTAATAAAATATTTACTAATTAATTACATTAAAACAATGACTATGACTAAACACGCAGGCATTAGTGCTACAACAGACATCAGAAATGCAGTCAAAGGAAACAAACTTGGTGCGTAAAAATTATGAAACTGAAAACTCAATCGCTGCTTTATAATTCATTTGTACTAACAAAATGCATATTTATATTATTTACGTTTATTAATAGCAAACTGGTTCAGGTTATCCCGGGGGGGTAAGAGGGCTGTTTTGTACCATATATCCAAAAAGTGAAAAGTTTATCCTGAAACTATAAGTCAATCAAACACTAGTATTTAGTGGTAGGTGTGATACTTACCAGACATAACGTGACCATCTCCAGCCGGTAGCCGTACCTATGCAGGATGGGCCTTAGCACTTGTGCCAGAGTCTTGCCTTGCTTTGACTTGACAGCCACAGTCTTGCGGTTGGGAAGGTCCAGTCTGAACACCACTCTATCCTCTACTCTCACCTCCTGAGCTCCTAGCACTGATGCGTCCTCCTCCAGCCCCACCTGCTGGGAATCACACCACTCTAATGGCCTTGTATGTAACATTTGGTCAATGTTATCAAGTAAACATTCAAACATTGTCAATGGAGAAAATATTCAAATGTTTCCAAATTAGCCAGAGACGACAAATAATGAATTGTTTATCAAGGTAAACCAAACTTAACACTGCAGTATCGTGGGACTGGTACCGGGTTCAATAGCTTTTTACAACATAATATTTACTGTATGTAAACTATTACTTGTAGTTTTTGACACTTACTTTGTTAGAGTGTCCAACGAAGACTTGGAAGCTGTTGTATCTGAGACCTCGTTTATCCAGAAGTCTGACAACCAGTTGTCCCACAGTCTGGGGAGGTCTGATCTGCACCACAGCAGTAGCTCCGTCAGGCAGCACCACACGACATAGAGACACACTCAGTGTCAGGTCCCACGATGCAAGAGAAGATCTGCTGCTAGACACAGACTCAGCGTCCGACCTATCACGGTCACGAGACTTGCACCTAGCCTTGCGAGACCACGGCAATAGACTCTTGCGTCTCCTCTCCTCCGCATCACTTCTTGACTTCTTTAGCTGTCCAATAACATAGTAATTATCAAACTATGGATAGAACTAGACATTCCATACACATTCACAAGTTATGGCTAGTTTCAGTATTGGATGGGATGTCTACCTCAATATCCAATAGTCAATGGTTCTTTACAAATATCTTTTGGGAATAGTTAGTATTTATTTCATGCAATCTTAAGGACAAACCATCTGACTAATGACTTGAAAACCCATAACTGTTCAAGGCTACTAAATAGATGTTGCTTAAGACACTTGTATGACATCATCCACCAACACCGGCTGTACACACATCTGCCACCTGTCAGACTTGAGACTTGTTAGGTATTTACTCAAGGGAGGTATAGAAGAGCCTTCGATGAAGTCAGCTGTCAGATCTCTTCTTTTGAGGGAACACCATTACCGCAACGATACGGTTGAGAGCCATCGGCCTCGGTGGTGTAGTGGAAACGTACCTGGCTGATGAACTGAAGGTAGCCGGTTGGAATCACACCGATAGTATTAACTTTTTGTCAACTATTTAGCTTAGAATGCGATTACTTCTTAACACGTTCGCTGCTGACCGCTAGATGTGAGGACGGCGCCAGGAGCTGAACTATAACGCTCGTCGCTGCGTAACATTGCCGCTGATACACAAAATTACAGTAAAAACAACAGTAGTTATACTGGATGGCAATGTTCTGCAATAAAACTGGCTTTGTACTAAGTGATTCTGATAGATTGCAGACCAACCCAGGTTGCAGTCGGTAAAGTAGTGTCGCTATCTAGCAGGAAAGAGATGGGACAAAGCCCTGTTCCAAACGACCCTTGTGATGATTTTGGGAAACTATATTTTTTACTGTCAGAAAAGTACGTCCCCACGAGCTGCAAAGAAATATAGGACGCTTGTGACAAGCTGGCTTATCCATGGAAACGTTAAATAGCAATGAACGGTGATGTTCGGAACGTTCCTAGCTCCTGGGGCGTTGGCCCAACTGACGTTCCGGAACGTCCGTAGCAGCGAAGTGTTAACTGTAGTACATCTTTTGTTAGAATCTGAGGCATTTATATTTTTATTTTATGAACAGTTTTATTTTTTGCATTAGTAAACTTTCATTAGATTTTTTCATTATCAGCAAGTTTGGTTAGGTTATGACAGTTTAATTTTTTAATTAAAAAATTATAAGATTAATTTTATAATCTATATTCTTAATACGCTAGGCCATATTTTTGTCATAGTTGTTTTAGAGCGGTGGTGCTACTGATCACCATGTCCAAGGTGTCGTTAGAAAGGGCTTAGCATGTAGTTTTGCCATCAAACAAAAATAACTTTGGAATTCCATCAGGGCTCTGCCCCAGTGGCCTTCAAAGTTCCCATGTTGTTCTTAGGGAGAAAATGTTTGTTTACATTTGGACAGATGAATACTTTGAAATTCACACTAATATTTGAAAGAGCTGGTTATACTCAAATTGGAGACATGTGCTATAAGGATTTATTAGATTAGTTGAAAATGACGTTTCACTGTTAAACCAGTTTTTATTTGCCCAAAATCAAAACATAACAAAAAAAACTTTTGACATAATGGAGACTATAAGACGTTGACCAATAGGAGGAGGCCGACGAACTTTAACTGGTAGACGCGAACGAAATACAAATAATACTATTATCATTGATATCCGAATACAGCAAGCACCCTTCCATGTTGTGTTTAAGTGTGCTCTCCAACAGCCACCTGAAGATTTGACATTCAATTTAGGACTGTTGGATAATCACTATGATTGTTATTCGTTTCAAAATAATGACTTGACGTAACACTTTGCAATTGCTTGAATTCAAGCAACAGGTACAATAGTTTTTCTTAATTTTTTAATTAAATAAATGACACTGTTGGCAAAACTAATAGTGAAATAAAATAAAAATTATGCGCTGTGCTCTCTACTACAGCGCTGTTCACGGAGGAATTTCAAACTAAACTATGATGTCATCGTTGCCTCATTTATACCTCCCGTAAGTCAGACCCGACTTGTTATTGTTGTTTGTTTTTGTGTAAGTTCTGTGCAATGATGTAACATTTTCTTGGTTAATTTTATATTTTAAGTTAACTTAGGTGATTGAAATGCCTTGTGAGAAATTCCTTGGTACTTAGAAACAGGCTTAAAATATTCTATCATAGAATCCCTAAGGGTGAAAACATAGTGGAGCGGTGAGGCTAGAGTAAAGTGTAGAGTGTAGCTGAGGGTTTTTTCATCCCCAATAGTAGCGGGGCCTTACTTGCACTTAGTGGAGTGGCGACGGTAGCGAGTCAAGAAGATGGATTCCAGTAACTTCTAATATATAAACCTAAACCCTAATATATGTAACCAATAATGAGGGTGTTTGATATGGCAAGGTAATAAAATTTATGAGAAAAATGTTGGCACATACCTTTTAGTTAGAAAATTCAACACTGGAGGATAAACAAGGGGATCGGGGTTTTGGGTGAGCTCACCATGCAGAGGGACACACAGTAGATCGTGAAATTCTAATTCACTGTGAATCACTGCACACACTTCGAAAGGGAGAATTAAGAAATGTAACCACTGTTACAAAAAGGAGAGATTTAAGTTGGGAAAACTTTACCACGAGGTGGTCAAAAGACCGAGATTGCCAGATAAAGGCGCGGTGCGGCACATAGGTCCGATTGAATAAGGTTGAAAATGCTAACTGAACAAAATCGTGGTAGGGAAATTTGGGCTTTCGATGAGAGGGAAAGAGAGAGCGATAGATCATGCCATATTGTGTGCGTGTTAAATGTATTTATTTATTATGAATTGGCAACCTTCGAATGAAGCAAGAAGACATCTGTAGTGGCCTGACAATGACTCTTATGTGAGTCAAAAGCGGTTGCGATTTAGCAAGACATTGATCGCATAAATGCAGGTATTTACACCAATTCTTTAATTTTCTATTTAAAAAGTTAAACTGTTCACTGAGTTAAGCTACTTTATTGTCGAGGTATCATAATTAACTTAATTAACACACTTCATACATTGACATTTTTATTAGGTTACAACTTTCATTTTCTATGTTTGAATTTTTGACAATTGATTCTTGTTGTTGAAAATGTCTTAATCACAATGAACGTACCCAAAAACAAACAACAATAATAAACTACTTGACAGGTGACAGCTGTATGCATTAAAAGCAGCACCGTCCGGGTCGGCAGGTGACGTCATACACTCGTCTAGACAACCTCTTTTTAGTGGTTTTTGTAGCTGCAAAATTTATTTAGTTCACAGCTGAGGATAACTAACTCTTTTCTATCTGTCTTTCTATGCGGTCGAATGGCGAGTATAGATCGCCGCCCGCCATTTTCCCCGACTGCAAAAAAATAACGACCTGTACTCACTAAAAAAAACAAAAAGTTCATCTTTGCGGTTGAATAGCGAGTATAGGTTGACGCGTGACATGTTCCCAACTGCTCAAATGGCGACCTTGTACTCGCCGAAAAAAGAAAAAAAATTCTACCTCAAAGAGTTAACTCTTTATTCTCCTATGGATAAATCCTAGGTTTATCTCTTAGGCTGCAGCATATCAGCTATTTTGTTGACTTGTATTGACATCTGTTTGAAACGATTTGTCATAGAAATGATAAGAAAGGTTGGTTGTACCTTGGAGTGAGCCTGTATGAGAGAGGTGTTGTGATGCAGTTGCAGCGCAGTGTCCAGTTTGCCTCTGACAGGAAGAGCTTCACCAGAGATCTCCCTCAGTAGGCACTCCTTGTACAGCTCAGACTTAATGAATCTGGGGTAGCTGTCAAACTTCATCAGGTTGAATATTTGTTTTTGAGCCTATGTAATAGAAAATACATAAGTATGAGACAACTCTTTATTGGAGATAATTTATAACCTCAATTGGCAAACCGCATTTGTTTTTTTCTTGTACAATATTTACGGTGAAAAGTACAACATTTTAAATGGTTATTATGTAACGACCTTGATGATTTAAAACTGATGACAAATTTATGTCTTGGAGGGGTGAATCACATTCTAAATGGAGATTTTACGTATTTTTCTAACCAAAAATTTATTTTCATGGATAACTATAACACAACTGTGCAAATACCACAACCAGCTCATAATAATGAAGACAGCTCTTGTCTTAGCTGTTTGGCATGGTTAGGAGGTGTTGTTGTTGTTTTCCTGTCCTTTGAAATGACCCTTGACTGATGTTCATTAAATGTAATTGAGGAATAGAAGGAGGTCTTAGAGTTTAAATGCATTTGTGTTTGCCAAGATAGGACAGTAGTTGACCTGTAAGAAGAGTGACGGCTCAGCAGCATTGAGTTCCTCCTGCGAGACCTGGCGCGCCTGAGAGTCCACATTGACAGGCTCTGACGCGCCTACAGCCAGGTGCTTCTCAAATATCTCATGAGCTGCCTCTTGCCTGGCACTGACATCCTCCAGCCAGCGATACCTCTCACAAGCCACCCAGAAGTATATGTTCTCATGACTAAACTCCTTCTTCAAGAACTCCTAAACATAAATTTGTTACCAAGTTAATACTGTACTATTTAAAGGTAAATTCAATGGTATAAAAAGTTCAAGTTTCAGATGTTAGATACATTTTTTAAATAGCCTTTCAGTGACCCTAAATATCAGTGACCTAATTTTATGCCGATCTTGTAATATGACGTTTTATAAACTAGATCATTTTATTAATGACTTAATAAAAAAATAATAAGTGTCGATAAGCTGGCAATGCTTAGGAAAATAGGCTAATATTTATGATTTAAATAAATAAAAAGTATCAGCAATCTGACACATACTTTTTCTCATTGGCTTGTCAACAACCTTTATGGGTAACCATGGGTGGGAGTAACTATGATATTTAATAGGGAAAATAAGTTGCAATAGCTCTTCAACCGTAGTTTTTACAGCGATGGGGGGTTTCACTGTTTTGTTTAGAATTATCTGACCACAACACATAAATTTTAATCAAAACCGGCTTTTTTCCAACAATCCGATATTTTGTGATTTTATGGGGTTTTTATGGGAAATAACATAAGTTACAATAACTTTAGAACCGTAATTTTACAGCAAGGGGTTGCACAATTTTGTTTAGAATAATAAGGACCATTTAACGATTTAACATACAAACTTTAACCAAACCGCTTTTTTTAGTAAATCCAATTTTCTGTTATGTTATGGGTTTTTCATGGGAAAATAACATAAGTTGCAATAATTTTTTAACCATAATTTTTACAGGATTAATGGGAGTTGTGATTTTTTCAGAATTTAAAGGACTAAAATACTAAATCTATCATATTATTTATAAGCTAGGCCTACATGAAACTTTGTGAACAACAAGGCTTTTTTGTTTTATGATTTAACCCCACATATTATATACCAACATGTTCGTCTAGGTGTGTAGATTCGCAAACTGACCAAATATTTTTGGAAAAGTCCTTTGGGCTCTGCCCCAGTGGCTTGTAAAGTTCCCATGTTATTATTATGAAGAACATACAGCCTTTGTTTATATTATGATCAGCTGGATGCTGGATAATTTAATTGCCGTTAATATTTTAGTTGCAATTTAAGGAAATGTGTGCTACAAACATTTACAGACTGGGTTGAAATGAAATATTTACTATGTGAAATATTGGCGTAATATGACGATAGAAAATACCCCTCTCCTTAAAAATATGACATTTATTCACTATTTAAATAGCATTAGTGTAACAAGTACTCTAGGTTTGCTGCAACAGGGAGGGCAAAAAAGTTTTTTGGTAAAATGTTAATAATAGTTTAGTATGATATTAATGTATTTCCCAAATGTGATCAAAATATGCCCATAAACAAGCAAACAACAACAGTTTACTCATTCTTCATAAGAATAACATGGGAATTTTAGTTTTTTTTGGAATTTTTTCTGTATCCATTAGGCGCATAATAATATACTAAATTATTTGTTTTTTTTTTTAAGCTCTACAAAATGGTTTGGAAATAAATTGCTAATTTTTATGTTTTTAAGGTCAAAAATTAGAAAAACCAATTTTTACCCCATGAACCCCCTATAAGCCCCCTTACTAATAAACCCCCGTTCCCATGGTCTGATCAGGCTGATTCTCGAACTTGTTAGAATAAATGTAGGTTTACATGTTTGTACCAAATTTCATCAAAATCGGATCATTTTTGCTTGAGTTATCGCGCTAACGGACTTAAATATATATATATATATTTATTCTTGAGGAGATCTTGATAGAGTTTATGATAAATGAAACATTGCAAATTTTTGTTTAATACAAACGTTTTCAAGCAAAGAGAAATTAATGAAAAATGTAAAAATGAACAAAACAAATAAATATGAACTGTTTACAAATAGTTGCATTTTGAGAACATATGATAGAGTACAGATCAAAGAAAATAATAAAATCAGCCTAAAAGAAAATTAAAATTCAGCTGAGTTAAATCACTTTTTCACTATCTTAAATTCAAAAATAAATTGGTGCTTAGGTTAGTGCTTACTTATTATTTGTTTTATTTATTTGATTCAACTCAGCTAAATAAAATTTTCTTTTAGGCTGATTTTATTATTTTCTTTGATCTGTACTCAATTATATGTTCTCAAAATTCAACTATTTGTAAACAGTTCATATTTATTTGTTTTGTTCATTTTTAAATTTTTCATTAATTTCTCTTTGCTTGAAAACGTTTGTATTAAACGAAAATTTGCAATGTTTCATGTTTCATTTATCATAAACTCTATCAAGATCTCCTCAAGAATATAAAAGTCATTTGGCATTTTCATCAAGATATATAAATATATATATATGAATTTGAACGGGTGGTGTTTTTGGCCTCTAGGGACCTCAAAACGAAAAATTAAATTGGTCCCAGGTCCAGATCTTGCCATGAGTACCACGGTAATAGCTTATTCCCTGTATGGGAAATTCGCTAACGATTCCAGGCTCGTGCCTAGCGTCCTAGGGCAAAAGAAAAAGGGAAAAAATTTCGATCATGTGTACTTACGTGTCAAATTTTGAGGTTAAATCAAAACAAACACACTGGCAGGTTGTCAATTAGGCATTTAGGGGCCGTGTTGTATTACTTACAAAATAATGCTCATTTAAGATAAAATGAATTAATTTAGTATATTTCATTGTCTAATTTATTAGAAAACATTCAGTACTCATGCTACTGCATTTTATAAACCAAACTCGTATATTGCTTCCTTGGCCTATCGTATAACGTTATCCTGTTTGTACGTGTGAACTTATATCTGCTTTTAATGAATTATCAGCAATACAATTAGCTGTTAATTATAATTTAAATGGGTCAAAACTTAGTCTATAAAGGTTTATCTAGTCATATCAAGAGTATTTAATTCTGGTTAGTCACTAACTTGAAACCCAAAAAGCGGGTATATATTTATATGATTTCTAAACAAAATGTAAATCATCTTTAATGTATGTCACAACAGTTATTTTATGTGTATCCAATTCACAGCAACCAAATTATTCTATTAATATAATGATCGACATTAATTTTTCAAGAAGATTCAATATTTTAATATTAGCTCATACTTATAATTAATTATTTTCAAAGCAACCATCACTTACAGTTTGGATACAATACTAAATAACAACTTATTCAATAGTTGATTTGGAATTAGAAATCACGTCTCTATTTCAAAGTAAATATTCTCTAAATGGCCAAAAACTTTAAGTAGGCTAGAGTGAGTTTAAAGTATTTAACTATTGTCAATGTCAATCAGTCAATCCCAAGAATATAAAGCCAGTTTGTTCGTTTTGATTTGATTTAACCTCAAAATTTGACATGTATGAACACATGATCGCACTACAGCCAAAAAGGTTCTTCTTCAAAAATAATCCACCACTCCTTAACCGCTTCTAGCTAAAAAATCCAACTGTATTTATTTGTACTGTATGTTATTCTTTCAATTTATGACCTTATTAAAATCAGGTGTGATTATTTGTTTATATTACTGTATTCTGTTTTGTTTATTCCAGCTTAACTTAACCAATTAATAGTTTTATTAATGCTTATGAAGTCAATTGGGGTGAAGCCTGTGGGTAACAGCTAGTTTCTATAAAAATCATTCTAGAAATGTTTTTAAAAGTTCAATTTTTCCATTATTTTATAGGAAAATCACCATTAAAAATAAAAAAAAACCCACAGCCATTCTTAGGAGTTGCCTCCCCCAAGAATGTAATTAGATGTTTAGTCTCTTCATTTAAATATTAAAAGAAATTAAACTGTGAACAAGTTTAGTTGAAGATAGGCTATCAATTGGTTTCCATCACACTTCCTAGTATTGATATGCATAGGTTGAACATAGGCTAACCAAATACTTACAGCAAACGTCTGCAGACCAATTGGGTCCTCGAGAAGTTTTTCAAAAGATGAAGCCCAGCATGACACACCTTCCTCTGGGTCTTCATGCTGCAACATGTCAAAAGTAGATCAGAACAAAGCTACACAAGCCAAAGACAATCAATATAAGGTTAGTAACAGTTTTGATAAAAAAAAGAAAATAGAGGAATTAAATACCCCCGCCGCAGCAAACTTGCAAACTAAGAGAAATTCCATTTGCCTAGTGAAATTTTCACTCAAATTATTTCTAAAAAATTGTCAGTTTTATTCCCTATTACAGTAAAAAAACCATCACGTTAATGAGTACTTAGCTTTTCTGATTAGGTAATAAAGTGTGTTTTTTTGGTGAAGCTTTTATAGCTTTGGATCATGTTGATTTGCAAACTCGTTTGAATAAACAAAGGTTTATACGTTTGTACCAGATTTTATCCAATGATTTCTGCTTGAGTTATCATGACACACACACACACACACACACACACACATTTATATATACTAGCTGTGTGCCCGTTCTACGCACGGGGATCTTAAAGTAGTCAGTTGAAATCTTCTTATATTAAGAACAGCAGTTGGTTTGCATATTTTTAGATAAGCTGGCAAAACTATTATATATAAACCTTTGCAAATACAGTATCTGACAGTTTCAAGCCAAAACACATGCTTCGCAATTAAATGTCACCCGGATCGTGTTAGTCCATATGTTAAATCCAATGATTAAACTAAAAATGCTTTATAGGCCTAGATCTATGAGGCATAGTCCTAAGGTAGGCCTATAGTTGAAAGTTACTTCCCACAATGGTTCAAATTATTTAAAGTACTACCTCAACCTCACCATTTAACACTTTATTCGGGTTGACATTTTAATTATCAAGGTGCTCTTGTCCTTTTCGTGACACTGAGAAATAAGGACATAAATGCGTTACCAACAGACATACACACAAAAATACAGAACTTAATTAGGGAATTTGCTACGTTTTAAGCATAACAAAGTACATATAAAATTAGTATTTGAAATTTGTATTAATGACATCAAATTTTATCATACCAATCTATATTTACTTGGACCGAAGATGACCCGAAATACTGTCAAAATGGCGTCTTACTATGTGAAATGAAGTACTATAGACAATTTAGATTGGTATTTTATAATAAAAATTACCAAAATAAGCCACAAACTATTGATACATAAACAACGTAAATCATAAACAATTCATGATGGTTTGCTAAACAAATGTTTTACTTAAATGAGTTATCATTTTCTTAGCATAAACTAAAATTTTGAATTGACAGAAAAAGCAAAACTTATACAGTTAAGACATCAATTAAACTGAGTACGGCTATAATACGACTGTATAAATAAGGTGAACACCAACGATAACTAATTTGTAAATTACAGTGATGTGTTGGTACGTAAAAATGATTCTTGCTGCTACCAACGGTTCTAAGGAAAGGAACCAGTACTAAAAACCAACGTTTACAGTTAAGAATTACGTCCGACAAATTAAATGCGTTGATCAAGTCCCAAAGTTATTGATTACTTGGTTTAGGATTTTCTCGTAAAAGGTTATTGGTGTCAGTTTGAAAAAAAAAAACAACCTCATACAAACAACTGTTTGTTATTTAATAGATTACGTAGGCCTATTCTCTAAACAATGATTCGTATATCTTTAAACATTAGAATGAAATGTGACAAAAATGACACAACACTGGGTTTTTGGACGTTTGTAATTTTATTTCTTAAGTAGGGAGGCCGTGTATTCTAGGGAAAATTACCGGTATCAAGGATCGTCGTCGAAAAGGTTATGAATAATTGGGTAGGCGTAAGTACCCAAGAGATGGGCTATGGGCCTATTGGCTGTATGGTCCGGCGATTGCATCATACGGTGAGTAGGAACAGAAAGTGACACATCGGAAAAGCAAGTTTAGCATAATCCATAAACCGTAAACCTCTGTTACAATCACCCACTGCAGTTGTGATTTTTTACTTTACACTTACACAACCGCCATTGAAGCGCCGTCAATGAGTGGAATCCTTGTTAGTAAGCTATTGGCGACGACAATTAATAAATTCAAGTTTCCCAGCCCTATACAACACTGATTCAAAGTCTTCTTTCTGGTTCCTGACCTGGATGATGCCTAGTTATTAATTATTTAATTTACGGTTACACTATATTATTCCACTTGCGATTAATTAAATCCGTTATGTAAGACAACGTTTTTAATGTCACTTGGATGGGATTTACCTTCAAAACGTGATCGGAAATGGTTGCGGTATTTGTAAACAACATTTGTAAACATATCAGTGACAGCTAGAAAAAATAATCTTGATCCAAACAGCTGTTCGTTATTTCATAGATCATTATGTGAAAAAAATTGGACAAAAACTTGACAAAAATCGCACAAAACTGTATTTTTGAACGTCCGTAATTTTATTTACTAAGTAGTGAGGCCATATTTTAATGGCTAAAGACACTCTCGCCAATCCAGTGAATACATTAAAATGACTTGGATCTTGATAGGTACTCTCGATTTCCTGGAGAAGATTGCGTAAAATGCCATCTTGAGTGTTACAGAAAGACAGACAGAAATTTAGACGAGACTTGTTTCGGCTTGTTTAATGTATGAAACGTAAAAATAACATACAAATTTATGATTCTGAGCAATATACAGACAAAACTCAAATTTTATTTATATAGATATATCTAATATATAAAATTCTCGTGTCACAGTGTTTGTCTGCAAACTCCTCCGGAACGACTTCACCGATCGTAATGAAATTTGGTGTGTAAATTCTGTAGGTATGCGAATCGGACGTAAACTATTTCCCGTTTCGAAATTCTTAAAAGGGCCAGTGGCTCTGGAGTTTCCCATGTTAACCTTATGAGAAATGGAATTAATGAATCTTAACAGCTGTTTCAATTAAACAAGTTGGTTCTGTTCTATGATGTTCAATAGCATTAAAGTTACAAGGATTACCAACAGGGTGCAGCACTATTATTTCTTTTACATTTATGACAACAGCTAATTTGCAACCAAAAGGTGAGTGAGCGTAGCGAACAAACTTCAACCTGGAGGCGAGTGAGCGTAGCGAACGAGCTAACCTGGAGGCGAGTTAGCGTAGCGAACGAGCTCCAACCTAAAGGCAAGTGAGCGCAGCGAACGAGCTCCAACCCAAAGGTGAGTGAGCGTAGCGAACGAACTTCAACCAGGACGTGATTGAGCGATGCGAACGAGATCATCTTGAAAATTAAACGTAACGGTACTTTCTTTCCATCGGTCTGTCTTAGGGGAAACCTATAACTTAGGCGATACGAAGTTCGCCGGGTCAGCTAGTAAAACATATTATTAAGTGTATGGTAAATTATAGCTAGTGATTTTATCACAGTATTTAGAATTTTGACCAGTGAAAGATGCATGCATCTTTCACATTACCTGTTATCAATACTTACAGTAATTTGCAATATATTTTTGTTTATTTAGATTTAGATAATTAAATGCTTGTGTGTTTTATGTAAGAGACCGGTCGAAAGCATGGTTATTTCACTATCAAACGTCGACCTTTGGTTAGGGCACCAGTAGCCCAATTACAAAAGGCCACAGTATTTAGAACAGTATTAATCCAAAATCACTGTAGCTTAGAATTGAACCAGCAACCTTAAAATTTAATCAACTTGGCAACCAAGACTAAGACTAATGTACTGTATGTATGATGGTTTACATAATAATTGAGATAGCATCATGTAATACAGTCAATGGTACTACGTCTCTCATAGATAGTATTCACTGGTCAAAATTCTAAATACTGTGATAAAATCACAAGCTATAATTTACCATACACTAATTACAGACTGTCCCAAAAGTCCCGAACCAGTTTAATAACTCATAAACGAAATGAGCTATGATAATAGTATTTCAGACACTATTCCTGACTAAAGAAAATCTATTTTTATATGTGTTAGTAACTATTGCCTCTGCCCCCAATAACCAATTTGGGGGGGGGGGGTTGCCCCAAATTTGTGAATGTAAACTCCTATCGAGTACAACCTATCGTTTTAAAGGTAGTATCATTCAGTAAACACAACAGCGCAAGCCCGAGGTCGATAACTTGCTCCTGTCCAAAACGACTGACCTTTTAGTATTACTTATAATCATGTAATTTAAAATTGACCACCATTGGTTGTATTAAAAACTTTTATTATTTTAAAACATAGTGAACACACGCACTAAAGAGTTTAAAGTTTAACTTTTTTGTCACACTTGCCCTCAATAGGGGTTTACATTTAAACATTTTTGGTGACCCCCCCACATTATGGTTTTTGGGGGCAAGGGCAATAGTGACTAACACATTAAAAAATAGTTTTTTAGCCAGGAGTCCTTTCTGAAATATACATATTTTCAGGACACCCAGAGTCCAAAACTTCAGCTCAAATACTTTAGTAATTTGTAATATTATTATAAAAGTAAATTTATTATTTGATTAGATTCAACTAACATAAATTCCAAACTCGTTCCTGACTCTCCATATGAGCAGAGACAGCAAGTCCTGCCTCAGTCTGATGGTATCCATTTCATGTCACAATGTCACTGCATACACACTGACACTATTATTCACTATGTAAGGAAAATGTCTAATTCATTTATCAAATGTAAAATCATTGGGCTTGACAAGGAGGGATTTATAATGATTTACGAGATCATATTGTTACACTTTTGTTTTGTCTTAGCTCAAAAATATTCTCGGTTGCTTGTTATTATTTATAACACACTATCTGACACTCAAACAGCACTAAACAATTACACAACCTTAAAAAACATTAATTATCTGTTGACTGTTTTAGAATATCCTTTTAAACTCCACATCATTAGGCCTACCTACATTGAATGAAGAAATGCACAAACTATAAAAATTTTCTGCATTAAATAAATAAAATAAAACTATAATTTTCTAGACTCTATGTTTTAATCGAGCATTATAAGTTTGGTAACAAAATATAATGTTGAGACTAAGACTATTTAAATTAATTTAAATTTAAGTTATTTATCACTGGCGAGTGACATGTTCTGCAGTT